GAGAAGAAAGGGGGAGGAAAAGGAGGAACAACAAGAACAGGAAGGAAGGAAGGAAGGAAGGAAGGAGAGGGAAGGGGAGAGTTGATGAGAGGAGAGGAAAGAAAAAAGAAAAGAAAAGAAGAAAAACAAGGGCCACAGACTGTTTAGTCTCCATTACACTGGAGCACCATCTTGGGTCACTTGGCAAACACTGTCTCATCAGAGTGAGGAAATGGGCAGAGTATATAGTCCACAGAGATAAAAACAGTAAGAGACGATTATGTTCAGAAAACAGAGGGTGATCTCAATATAAATAAGTATAAGTGACATAAGTCTGAGAAGTCAAAAATATTTTGGTGCCAGGGGGCCTGGGTAGTGCAGTCAGCTAAGTGTCGGACTGTTGGTTTCGGCTCACGTCATGATCTCAGTGTTGTGAGATGGAGTCCCATGTTGCTTGAAGCTCTCTCTCCCTCTCCCTCTTCCCCTCCCGCTCATGTGCTCTCTCGCCAAAATAAATAAATAAATCTTTAAAAAAACTATTTTAGTACCATTAGCAAATGCTTAAAATTAACTAAAAAAGTAAGAACCACCAAACTCTCCCTAAATATTTTACTTAATTACAAAGTTTTTATCCTGGGGGCACATATTCAGACCATATTGTTAACTAGCTAGCTCTGTGTGTCTGTGTGCATACATACATTTTTTTGTTGTTTCATCATTTATGAAATTATCCNATTTTTTTGTTGTTTCATCATTTATGAAATTATCCTTCTAAAACTTTTAGCCACACTATAAGGAACCTAAGAAAACCATTCTCATTATAATATAGTACAAACTCCTTCAGCTCCATATCATTATTAATCAGAACTTTTTTAAAAAACATTCAGATTTTTGATAAGAGGGGAAGAAGTGAAATACAGAATTGAGAAATCACTTCCATAAATATCTAGACTCTAAATTTAATATATAGGTACACATCAGATTTTCTCAAAGTCAACATACATATACCCTTTAAAAAAGTAAACTATTCTTACCTGCCCCAAAAATATTTTCATAAGTAAGTATGTACTGTTGGGGCCGATTCCACATTAAAACCTGTTAAACCCCTAGGGCCTGCCTGGGCCTACTTAGCCATAGTGACTCCATGTTGCCTAGGTAGCCATTTTGTTGTTTAATAAATGCCTCAGCAGTTACTGATACAGGTTCCGGGTAACGTTGCTAAAACACATACCTAAAACAAGCCCATTTTGTTGTTTAATAAATGCCTCAGCAGTTACTAGTATCGGTTCCGGGTAACCATTACTACAACACACAGGTAGGAAACATCCAATCAGCCAAAGCCACATATGTAGATGTCTGCGGTTGTGCCCTATAAAACTAGCCTGTAAGACCAAGGGGTGGTCACTCTCTTCGGAGAGCCCTGGCCGGTCAGTCTGCCCCTGGCTGGTCAGTCTAACTTCTAATGCTTGGCGTAGAATAAGGCTTTGCATAACTTTCACATTGTCTCAGTCTCGTTCCTTTGATAACACGCCCAACAGTACAAATATAGAACAAGCTATATTTTTGTTACAAATCTTAGAAAAACACAAAACTAATACAAGTTAAAATCCAGTAAGGTCACAAAAGCAATAAAATTAAATTTAAAACATGCTTTTAAGTTTTTATATTAGCATCAAAAACTTCTGATATTAAACTTCTGATATTAAAATAATGACCTTCCAAAAGGACATCAGTCCAGACGCTGGTGGCCTGCTGGTTATTATTCAGGGTGATGAGAACAAGAGTGCTCTACTTTTGTTCCTCTGAGCCACTGGGGACTTTGTCCCTTAGAACCTACTCTTGAGGAGTTCTTAATCCAGTACCAATGAGCCTTATTCATGGTGTGTAATCTTTTCCAAAATGAACCATGGTAAAATGTCTGAAAAAATTTTCAGTAATGTATCTTTTCCCCTATGTGCTTAGAATTGGTCTTAAATATCAGTCCAGAAAAATCACGCTGCACCCACAGTTTTTTTTTTTTTCGATTTTATTTATTTATTTGACAGACAGAGATTACAAGTAGGCAGAGAGGCAGGCAGAGAGAGAGGAGGAAGCAGGCTCCCTGCTGAGCAGAGAGCCCGATGTGGGACTCGATCCCAGGACTCTGAGATCCTGGCCGAAGGCAGAGGCTTTAACCCACTGAGCCACCCAGGCGCCCCTCCCCACAGTTTTTTAAAAGTAATGTCTTTTTCTCAATAACAGAGCAACTGAGCTGCCTACATGTCTACAAACCATCAACATTTTTTATTTCACAAATCAGTGACAATAAAAACATCTGATACCTGTATAGCATTTTCCTAAAAGTGATCACCAATAAGCCCTGGTAATAAACCTTCCTGACCATTTTGCTATTGCCAGGATAGTTAAGAACATTATTCTTTATTTTTTTGTTGATTTCAAGTTTTTATTTAAATTCTAGTTAGTTAACATATATGGTAAAATTGGTTTCAGGAGTAGAATTTAGTGATTCATGACTTACATGTAATACCCAGTGCTATTTACAGCAAGTGCCCTCCTTAACACCCATCATCCATTTAGCTCATCCCCCACTGTTTTCCCTCCAACAACCCTCAGTTTGCTCTCTATAGTTAAGAATATTTTATGATTTGCTTTCCTCTCTCTTTTAATTGTTTTTCTTCCCCTATGTTCTTCTGGTTTGTTTCTTAAATTCCACATATGAGTGAAATCATATGGTATTTGTCTTTCTGAGTTATTTTGCTTAGCACAATACACTCTAGTTCCATCACCATTGCAGCAAATGACAAGATTCCATTCCTTCTGATGACCAATATTTCATTGTATATATATATACCACCTCTTCTTTTCCCATTCATCAGTTGACAGACATTTGGGCTCTTTCTATAATTTGGCTATTATTGATAATGCTGCTATAAACATTGGGGAGCATGTGCCCCTACCCCTTCAAATCAGTATTTTTGTATCCTTTGGGTAAACACCTAGTAATGTAATTGCTGGGTCACAGGGTAATTCTGTTGTGACTTTTTGAGGAACCGCCATACTGTTTTCCACAGTGGCTGTACCAGTTTGCATTCCCAGCAACAGTGTAAGACGGTTCCTCTTTCTCCACATCCTCACCAACATTTGTTTCCTGTGTTGTTAGTTTCAGCCATTCTGACAGGTGTGAGGTGGTATCTCATCATGGTTTTGATTTGTAATTCCCTGATAATAAATGATCTTGAGCAACTTTTCATGTGTCTGTTAGCCATTTTGTATGTCTTCTTTGGAAAAATGTCTATTCATGACTTCTGCCCATTTCTTAACTGGATTATTTATTTTTGGGTGTTGAGTTTGATTAAGTTCCTTATAGATTTTGGATACTAATCCCTTATCAAATATGTCATTTGCAAATATCTTCTCCCATTATGTCAGTTGCCTTTTAGTTGTGTTGACTGTTTCCTTTGCTATGCAGAAACTTTTTATCTTGATAAAGTCCCAATAGTTCATTTTTGCTTTTGTTTCTCTTGCCTCCGAAGATGTGTCTAGTTAGAAGCTGCTATGGCTAAGGTTTAAAAGGTTTCTGCCTGTGTTCTCCTCCAGGATTTTGATGATTTCCTATCTCACATTCAGGTCTTTCATCCATTTTGAGTCTATTCTTGTGTGTGGTGTAAGGAAATGGTCCAGTATCATTCTTCGGCATGTGGCTGTTCAGTTTCCCCAACACCATTGGTTGAAGAGACTTTTTTCCAGTGGACATTCTTTCCTGCTTTGTCAAAGATTTGTTGACCACATAGTTGTGGGTCTGTTTCTGGATTTTCTATTCTTTTCCATTGATCTATGTGTCTGCTTTTGTGCAAGTACCATACTGTCTTGATGATGACAACTTTGTAACAGAGTTTGAAGTCCAGAATTGCGATGCAGTCAGCTTTGGTTTTCTTTTTCTTCTTCTTCCTTTTTTTTTTTTTTTTTTTAAGATTTTGTTTATTTGTTTGAGAGAGAGTGCACAAAAGTGAGAAAGATCATGTGAGCATGGTGGGGGAGGGGCAAAGGGAGAGGGACATGTGGACTCTCCACTGAGCAGGAAGCCCAACCTGGGGCTCAATCCCAGGATCCCGGGACTGTGACCTGAGCCAAGGCAGACAGTTAACTGACTGAGCCACCCAGGCATCCCTTTGCTTTTCTTTTTCAAGACTTTTGACTATTTGAGGTGTTTTCTCTTTGCATACAAATTTTAAGGCTGTTTGTTCTAGTTCTGTGAAAAATGCTGGTGATATTTGGATAGGGATTGTACTGAATGTGTAGATTGCTTTGGGTAGCATAGACATTTTAACAATATTTGTTCTTCCAATCCATGAGCATGGAATATTTTTCCATCTCTTTGTGCTTTCCTCAATATATTTTATAAGTGTTCTATAGTGTTCAGAGTACAGATCTTTTAACTCTTTGGTTAGGTTTATTCATAGGTAACTTACGGTTTTGGTACAATTGTAAATGGGATCTATCCCTTGACTTCTCTTTCTGATATTTCATTATTGGTGTATAGAAATACAACAGATTTCTATACATTGATTTTATTTCCTGTGACTTTGCTGAATTCACGTTACTGGTTCTAGTAATTTTTTTAGTTAAAGTACCATGTTATCTGTGAATGTGAAAGTTTACTTACTTATTGATTTGAGTGCCTTTTCTTTTTGTTGTCTGACTGCTGAGACCAGGACTTCCAGTACTATGTTAAATAACAACTGTAAGAATGGACATCCCTGTCTTATACCTGACCATAGAGGGAAAGCTCTCAGTTTTTCCCCTTTGAGGATGATATCAGCTGTGGGTCTTTCATATATGACCTTTATGATGTTGAGGTGTGTTCCATCTATCCCTACTTTGTTGAGGGTTTTTATCAAGAATGTATGCTGTATTTTATCCAATGCTTTTTTTGGCATCTATTGAAGGGATCCTATAATTCTTATCCTTTCTTTTATCAACTGATTGATTTGTGAATATTGAACCACCTCTGCAGTCCAGGAATAAATCCCACTTGATCATGGTGAAAAACTGTTTTACTGTGCTGTTGTATTCAATTTGCTAGTACCTTGTTGAGAATTTTTGCATCTGCGTTCATCAGGGATATTGATTGGCCTGTAATTCTTCTCTTTAGGGGGGGTCTTTGTCTGGTTTTGGGATCAAGGTAATACTGGTCTTGTAGAATTAGTTTGGAGTTTTTCTTCAATTTCTATTTTATGGAACAGTTTGAGAAGAATAGGTATTAACTCTTCTTTAAACGTCTGGCAAAACCCTTTCCCTGGGAAGCCATTTGGCCCTGGGCTTTTGTTTGTTGGGAGGTTTTTAATTACTGGCTCAATTTCTTTCCTGGTTATGGGTCTGTTCAAATTTTCTATTTCTTCCTGTTTCAGTTTTGGTAGTTTGTATGTTTCTAGGAATTTATCCATTTCTTCGAGATTGCCCAATTTGTTGGCATGTAATATATAATACACAATATTGTCTTATAATTATTTCTATTTCTGTGGTATTAGTTGTGATCTTTCCTCTTTCTTTCATGATTTAATTTATCCTTTATCCTTTTCTTTTGATAAGTCTGGATAGGAGTTTATCAATTTTATTAATTCTTTCAAAGAACTAGCTATTAGTTTCATTGATCTGTTCTATTGTTTTTTGTTTGTTTCATATTGTTTATTTCTGCTCTAATCTTTATTATTTCCCCTTTTCTTCTGGCTTTAGGCTTTATTAACTGTTTCTTTTCTAGCTCCTTTAGGAGTAAGATTGGATTGTGTATTTGGAACTTCTCTTGCTTCTTGAGGTAGGCCTGTATTGCTATTTACTTCCCTCTTATGGCTACTTTTGCTGCATCTCAAAGGTTTTAGACTACCATGTTTTCATTTTCAGTTGCTTCCATGCATTTTTAAATTTCTTCTTTAATTTCCTGATCTTTGTGATCTTTCCAGGTTTTTTCTTGTGGTTGACTTCAAGTTGATATAGCATGGTGGTCTGAAAATATGAATGGTATGATCTCAATCCTTTTGTACTTGTTGAGGCCTAATTTGTGACCAGTATGTGATCTATTCTGGAGAATGTTCCATTGGCACTTGAAAAGAATATATATTATCCTGCTTTATGATGAATTGTTCTGAGTATATCTGTTAAGTCCATCTGGTCCAGTGTGTCATTCAAAACCACTGGTTCCATGTTGATTTTCTGCTTAGATGATCTGCCCATTGCTGCATGAGGATTGTTTTAGCATCCCCTACTGTTACTGTATTATTATCAATGAGTTTCTTTATTTTGTTATTAATTGATTCATATATTTGGGTGCTCCCAAGTTGGGGGCATAAATATTTATAATTGTTGGATCTTCTTGTTGGATAGACCCCTTAATTATGATAGAGTGCCCTTTTTCATCTCTTGTTATAGTCTTTGGTTTAATATTTATCATATATGATATAAGTATAGCTACTCCAGCTTTCTTTTGATGTCCATTAGCGTGATAGATGGTTCTCCATCCCCTCATTTTCACTCTGGAGGGGACTTTAGGTCTAAAATGTGTTCCTTGGAAGAAACATATTGATGGGTCTTGTTTTTTATCCCTTTTGATACCCTATATCTTTTGACTGGAACATTTCATTCATTTACATTCAGAGTTATTATTGATAGATAAGAATTTGTATTCCTGTAAATTTGCTGCTTCTTGAGATTCTCTGTTCCTTTCTAGTCTTTGTTACTTTGGTCTTTCTGTCCCACAGAGAGGGTCCCCTTTAGTATTTCTTACAGGGCTGATTTTGTGGTCAGGAACTCCTTTAGTTTTTGTTTGTCTGGGAAACTTTTTATCTCTCCTTCTCCTTTGAATGCTAGCCTTGCTGGATAAAGTATTCTTAAAGCTTTTTTTTTTTTTTTAAGATTTTATTTATTTATTTGACAGAGATAGATTTGACAGAGTAGGCAGAGAGGCAGGCAGAGAGAGAGAGGGAAGCAGGCTCCCTGCTGAGCAGAGAGCCCGATGTGGGACTCGATCCCAGGACCCTGAGATCATGACCTGAGCCGAAGGCTTAACCCACTGAGCCACCCAGGTGCCCTGGATAAAGTATTCTTTATCCTGCATATTTTTCCCAGCATGTTGAATATATCATGCCATTCTCCACTGGCCTGCCAGGTTTCTATGGAAAGATCTCCAGAACCATGCCTCTGCACCTCCTAACTACTACAATGTTTTCTCCCTCTAGTTCTGCATTTTGTTCTCTCAGTATTCAGATGTATTCTTGAGTATTTGGAAGATCTGATATTTATCTACCTGTGTTTGAGGGACAAGGCAAGCATAGGGTCACCCTACTGCTCTGCCATCTTAACTCTCAATACATTTTTATTCTTTAGAACAGAAGATCTCAAATGCAAAGGGAATGAATATGAATTGGAAAGATGCATTGGAAATGGAGAGCTAGAAGCCCATAGCTTATGCCTTAACTTCTACTTTCAAGGTTTGATATCCCCCAAATTTAACTTTTTAACTAATAACAATGGACATATGTATTTATACACACAAGTACACACATGTAATCTTTCAGTCCTTGTCACCAGATCTCAGGTTACATAGGACCAATATATCGCTTCATTTGATTCAAAATAGAGCTAAATTCTCACTTCTGTTAAATCTCTCTTACTCTTTCAATACAAGAGCTCACAAATGTCTACTAGTCATGTTTCTGTTTGTTTTGAAAATTTCCTCGAACACAGCTTACATAATATTATGCTGAGCTATTAAACATTTGCAGAACATGCCAAGAGTCTCAACATCTTATCCCACGTATATGGCAACATCCAACACTATAGTCTGCTTGTTTCCCTCTAAGAGTTTTCAGAGTTCACTTCTCAGGAACAAGATGTAATGAGAGAACGAGGTCAGGGGAAGCATACATAAAATCAAGTCATAACAATGTCTTAAGGAAATCACTTTGCCCTCTCTGAAACATCTCTACTTTGAATCTTTATAGGTTTCAGAAATTTTAAATAAGATAGCAGAAAGTAGAAATTAGCACCCAAAGTAGATTCTACTGTTTTAGTTACCCTATAAGGAAATTTACTTTCCTTTTCACTCTGATCCAGAATTCAAAGGAAAAGTAAGTAGATGTTACCATACCTGTCATAGCCCAGAGGATGAGGAGAATGACCATTAAATTTGGGACT